CTCACTCATAGGCGGGTGTTGAACAATGAGAACACATGAACACAGGGAGGGGAGCACTACACACTGGGGCCAGTTGGGGGGAAATAGGGGAGGGACGGTGGGGGGTGGGGAGCTGGGGAGAGATAGCAAGGGGAGAAATGCCAGATGTAGGTGAAGGGGAGGAAGGCAGCAAATCACACTGCCACGTGTGTACCTATGCAACAATCTTCCATGTTCTTCACATGCACCCCAAAACCTAAAATGCAATAAAATAAATAAATGGGAAAAAAAAAGTGTAACTTACAGTCGTTCCTCCTTACCACAGGGAATAGGTTTCAAGATGAGTGGCTTGTAAAACCACAAACGGTAGCAAGCCCTGTACATATTATGTCCTTGTACATACATATGCACATACATACATGCCTATGAGAAAGTTTAATTTATAAATTCAGTACAGTGAGAGAGTAACAGTCATAACTGATCCATTATAATATTTTATTTTAATAAAAGTTATGTGAATGTGAAAAAAAAAAAAGTCATGTTGGTTTTTGCTCACTTCTTGATACTGATTTTCTAGGTGAAGGCAAACTCGTTATTTATTTTCAAAGAAGCTTAACTTAAAAGCATCGTCCCTTCAAATCACCCACCTAACCAAATTCAGAGTATGAGTGCTTAAGAAAGTCACAGACGTTTCTCTCATGATGGACACTCCAAGTTACTTTACATAAAGCCTAATATAAAGAAGAGCTCTTGGAACAGGAGCTGGGAACGCTGTGGCGCACTTGGGCCGTGGGGCAGGCATCCAGGCCTCACTAATCCAGGCAGTAGTTCTTTAAAGAATAATCTCCACGGTGCCCCACATTTTCCTTTTAATATTTCAAATCCACAATTTTTAAAATATGAAGAAAGTGAGAATGCTTATGCTTTTATATGACTTCCAAGGAAGAAACACATTGTTCAAGCTCAAGGTGCAATTAGCAAATTCTATTTAAAGGTAACAAGGCCAGACCTAGGGGCTCATGCCTGTAATCCCAGCACTTTGGGAGGCCAACACGAGTGGATCACCTAAGGTCAGGAGTTCAAGACCAGCCTGGCCAACATGGCGAAACCCCATCTCTACTGAAAATGTACAAAAATTAGCCAGGCATGGTAGTGCATACCTGTAATCCCAGCTACTCGGGAGGCTGAGGCAGGAGAACCACTTGAACCTAGGAGGGAGAGATTGCAGTCAGCTGAGATGATGCCACTGCACTCCAGCCTGGGTGACAGAGCAAGACTCTGTTCTCTCCACGCCCCGCCCCCTCAAAAAAGGTAACTAATTAATTACTGCAAAGACGCAGGCATGGGAAAACTTATTTAAAAAGAGTTAGCGCTTACTGTACCTTTGCGATTTTTCACCTTTGTTTGAAGTACTATATGAAAGACTATTGGAATTAATGGAAAGCTGAGAATGTTAGCACAAATCCCACCACAATTTCCATCAGTTGTATAGGCTATGAGTTGGTAAATTGCTGGGACCTTCTTTGGTCATGGAGAGACATGAAATAGGGCTCAAGCTGACACCACGGATGCCCAGCGTTGTCTTGTGCTCCCTCACACTTGGGCTGAGGGAGCCTTAGGTGGCCAGCCCAGCCCAAGGCTGATGATGGCAGTTTCCTTATGGGCCACAAAGAGTCTGCAATGTTTCCTATCATGGGAGTTATTCCCTGTGTGTTTATAGCAAGAAGGGGCCTGAAGTGTGGGCACTCGTGCCAAAATGAAAGGCTAGGGGTGAGAGAAGCCTGAAGCCACATGCAAGGTTTTCCCAAGCTCTTACCTACTTTATTCAAAGTTGCTTTTTTTTCTCCTGAGACACAGTCTTGCTCTGTTGCCCATGCTGGAGTGCAGTGGCACTATCTCAGCTTGCTGCAGCTTCCACATCCTGGGTTCAAGTGATTCTGCTGCCTCGGCCTCCTGAGTAGTTGGGACTGCAGGCACGTGCCACCACGCCCAGCTAGTTTTTTGTGTTTTCAATAGAGATGGGGTTTCACCGTGTTAGCCAAGATGATCTCCAACTACTGACCTCAGGTGATTCATCCGCCTCGGCCTCCCAAAGTGCTGGGATTACAGGTGTGAGCCACCGTACCCTGCCTAAAGTTATTTTTAAGACCACAGGACAGGATCCTGATACCTCGGGATGAACGGTGCTAACATACAGGTGAAGGACACGGAGTCCGAGGCAGGTGCCCCAGGGGTCTTGGTAGCTGTGAGCCCCACAGCTCAGCTGTCCTGAGGCTATAGAATCTGCCAGAGCCTCGTCCTCCTCTGAAATCCGCATGCACTCAAGTTCACACTGACAAACTCACAGCAGGTACAAGGACCTGACACACCTTGTGACTTGTCCTTGTAGAGCACGCAGGAGACTAGGGCGCTAACTGGCGCTACAGCTGTGCGGCCTGCGGGGGGTGAAGGTGCGCCGTGGGGGCTGGGGCCTCCGGGGAAGCAAGGGCAACGGGGACATCTGGCAGTGGTCTAGCCAAGAGGACATCACGTGTGGAGGCCAGAGAGTTCCTGGAGACTGGAGATGGCGGGAAAGCACAGATCCAAGCGCTGGCTCTGTGCATGGCAGTGCTCCTCAGACGACTCAGGATGACAGGGTGCCTCTCAGAGATTCTCACTTGGGAAGCAGGGACTTAAGGGACCTCACATGTTTAACAAAAACCTAACACACGCACAGGCCAATGTTTCCTGGTATTTTGCTATGCATGTGAGGAACGGATTCAGGGAGCTTGCGGGTGACATGGTGTTCAGCAGGTGGACTGAAAAGAGCTCTGCAGAGAGAAGGGACTCTGTGTCTGTTCTCTGCGGGCTGGGAGGAAGCTCGGCGACTGCGTGATGGTGAGGAGCGGTGCCCAGCGCCGGCCCTGACCACTCAGGTCTGAGCCTGGTCACCCACGTGCGCGTTCCTGAGCTCTCTGGCTCTCTCACTTTTCTCATACATGAAGCGGGGACAAGGTGAGGATGAAGGTATGTTCAACGCTGAGAGCATCGAGGCCAGTAGCTGTTACTATCACAGTATTTTCTGGGACTCATTGTGGGGTGGAACCTGGTTAAGGTGGGAATGAGCTTTGCAGAGGTTAGGGAGGTCGGTGGCAGAGGGGAGGCCGCTTTTAGTTTGCTGCCAACACAATCAGTCACGCTGATTTCATTTCTAGGCATCACCACAAAGGAGGAAGAAATGAGAAATTCCCACTGATTCTCTCTTCACAGGAAGTTGCTGTTCTGCAGACACGGTTGGCAAAATCAGCTCAGCTTTCAACGCACGTCGCCTGCCTGCCGCACTTTTGGTGTCCCTTTCTAAGACAATGGTGCTGTTAGCTTTACTTTTTTGTTTTGAGACGGAGTCTGGCTCTATTTCCCAGGCTGGTATGCAATGGCACGATCTCAGCTCACTGCAACCTCCACGTCTCAGGTTCAAGCGATTCTCGTGCCTCAGACTCCTGAGTAGCTAGGATGACAGGTGCCCACCACCATGCCTGGCTAATTTTTTGTATTTTTAGTAGAGACAGGGTTTTGCCATGTTGGCCAGGCTGGTTTTGAACTCCTGACCTCAGGTGATCCAGCTGCCTCAGCCTCCCAAAGTGCTGGGATTACAGGTGTGAGCCACTGTGCCTAGCTAATTTTAGTATTTTTAGTAGAGACAGGATTTCACCATGTTGGTCAGGCTGGTCTTGAACTCCTGACCTCAGGTGATCCTCCCATGTCCACCTCAGCCTCCCAAAGTGCCTGGCCCTGGTGCTGTTATCTTTGAAAATGAGATTCCATTCCTGCCAGGGAGAGACTGACAGCATCTGGTTCAAAGCTTGCCACACTATGTCACATCCAAGTGTAAGGAAATGTCCCCACACTTCCTGTGTGCTCTTTGCTGCTGCCTGGCCATGCCCCACAGCGGGATGAAGCCGAGCCCCAGCCGGGAGAGGGGCAGCCTGCAGAGAGCCGGGAGGGCCTGGCTGTGGCCACTCTGCCCCTCCTCCTTATGCCATGGGATCCTTTAAAAATCTCAGATCCAGCACAATTCCTGACACATACTATGGCTTCCACTTGAAAACAAAATCTAATGAGAAAATCCCAGGAGGAACAAGTATACAGGTGCTATCTTGAAGTTTACCCAAGCAAAACACTGTTTTTATGTTAGTATTATTCATTCTAAATGATGGCTGCATCAGGAATGACTCAAAAGCAATCTTCTACGTGTGGTCTTCTTTTCAAAATAAAAGTCCTCCCCTGGATGAGCTGGCAGGTGCTGAGTGTCACTTACCCCACCATGAGGAAGCCCTGGTACAAAGGGACGGAGGCGAAGTAGAAGACCGAGGAAAACACAGCCTGGAGAGAGAGCCCACAGACAAAGACAGCCGTCAGTCCCAGCAGCAGCTGGCACCAGGCCTCTAACTCCCAAGCACAGCCCAGGTACTCCCGCAGCACCTGGCAATGCCCTCTCCCAGTGTCCTGGCCCCTGCCCTCCGTGGCATGTGCAGAAAGCTTGGTACCTGCATGGTGGAGATGATGAGGCCCCTGTGCATGACGAACTGGCCAAGTGCCGCCGACCTCTTGTAGCTGTTCCGCCCATGCACCATGAGCAGCCTGCCGACGTGCCGGAACTGCGTGATGGAGAAGTCGGCCGCCAGTGAGGCCTGCCTCCCCTCCTAAAAGACAAGCATGCAGGGCCCTGTTCAAACACTGTGGACGCTGGAAATCAGACTCCAAAAGCTGAGTTTTAGAACTCAGCCTTAATTTTACCAAGACTGAAGCTCTGTCTGCAGGACTTTAAAAGCTTCAGCTACGTCGATGGGACAGGTCCACCAGTCTCAGGCACGGGGCAGGGAGGCCCCCAGCACCAGCCCGGGCTCTCTCAAACACTTCAGGACAGCTCAGCTTCGACAGCCCGAGGGTGTCACAGGAGTCAGCAGAGCAGCAGAGTCCGGGCCAGCACTATCAGAGGACATCCTGGGCCAACATGTGGGAGGACGCCCCTGTGATCTCAGCCTGGGCCAGCCCTGTTGAAGGACGCCCCTGTGATCTGAGCCTCTGTGAACTGAGCCCCTGTGAACTGAGTGTGGTCAGCACTACGGGAGGACACCTCTGTGAACTAAGCCCCTGTGAACTGAGCACAGGCCAGCCCCGTCAGAGGACGCCCCTGTGACCTTGGGCTTCTTCAAGATAATTCTCTGCTTTTTCATATCAAAAAAAAAATCTATCTTCTCTTTCACAACACTGCCATAAGGCATTACAAAATGAAGTAGCCAAGGAAAAAGCCACGCTTGCTTGAGCTGGGTTAATTTTCCAGGTCTTTCTGGGTATGTTTATATTAATATTTAAGTGACTTTGGAGAAAGGAGTAACATAAATAAGGCTGGCACAGAAGGCAAACCTCAAACTACAGTTCAGTCAGACACAGGCAACTACCCAGACAATGGCATGTGTGAAACAGGAGGGCAGCCATGAAAAGGCTCGCTGGGGGGTTTGTGAACATCTGAGCTGAGCCCTGGGGCAGGTGACTACGCGTGACACCTTCCTGCCAGCCACTCTGCCAACAGCAAGGGCACCGAGGGCTGGGCTCTAACGCACGTGGCAGGATCGTCTTTATGAGATGTGGGGTCAAAGCGGGGGACTCTGACCAATTCCTCCTTTACTCAAATGTACAGTTCGGTGCCTAGCACACACCAGACTCTTCAGGATGTGCTGACCACACATGTTGACCAAGTGCACCTTCACCGAGCATCTGTCGAGTGTGTGCTGAGCACGTGCTGGTGTGCGCTGACCGAGCAGGTACTGACTGAGTGTGCGCTGAGCACACACTGACGTGCGCTGACCGAGTAGGTGCTGACTGTGTGCTGAGCACATGATGAGGTACTCTGACCGAGTAGGTGTTGACTGACTGTGCGATGAGCACGTGCTGATGTGCGCTGAGTAGGTGCTGACTGACTGTGCGCTGAGCACGCACTGATGTGCGCTGACTGAGTAGGTGCTGACTGAGTGTGTGCTGAGCATGCGCTGACGTGTGCTGACCGAGTAGGTGCTGAGTGTGCGCTGGGCATGTGCTGACGTGTGCTGACCGAGTAGGTGCTGAGTGTGCGCTGAGTATGTGCTGACGTGCGCTGACCAAGTAGGTGCTGAGTGTGCGCTGGGCACGTGCTGACGTGTGCTGACTGAGTAGGTGCTGAGTGTGCGCTGGGCACGTGCTGACGTGTGCTGACTGAGTAGGTGCTGAGTGTGCGCTGGGTATGTGCTGACGTGCGCTGACCAAGTAGGTGCTGAGTGTGCGCTGGGCACGTGCTGACGTG